TCTGGTTTCTTCCTGAGGGGCTGGTGGCATATCACAGCAGCATTTACTGCATCTTGAACTGTGATAAAGTAGTAGCAAGCTATCAATGAACAACGGTGTAAAACATATGTTTTACAACAGACAAAACTCTGTCCTTGAGGAACTGTCCATATATTTGGGAAGATAGATATGTATTCATAAAAAGACACTAAATCTGCGAGGCATGAAATAAAGGTCATATGAACAGTATAGATACTACTTGTATAAGAATAGATAATACTCGGCTGAGTGATGGCTCACGCCTGTAATCCCAGCACTTTGGGAGGGCGAAGTGGGCAGATTTCATGAGCCCAGGAGTTTGAGGCCAGCCTGGGCAACATGGTGAAACCCCATATTTACAAAAAATACAAAAATTAGCCATATGTGGTGGTGCACGTGTGAGGTCCCAGCTACTTGGGAGGTTGAACTGGGAGGAACACTTGAGCCCAGGAGGTTGAAGCTGCAGTGAGCTGTGATTGTGCCACTGCACTCCAGCCTTGGCGACAGGAGTAAGGCCCTGTCTCAAAACAAAACAAAAATCCCAAAACAACAGAAAGGATAGATAATACTCTATACTTCCTATATCTCTAAGTAATAGTCTCTAGGTAATAGTCTTGATTCCACCCCGCTTCTCACCCTCACATCCAAACTATCACCACGAACATTCAGTTCTGCTTCCAGAATACATCGCAAATCCATCTCTTCCTTCCATTTCCATCCCCTCTGAAGTCCATCCAAGAAGTCCATCTCTCGGTTGAACTACTGCTGTAGACCCTGGCTGATGTCTCCTTTTTTATTCCTGTTCTTCTCCCAACCTTTCTCTACCTAACAGCTGAAGTGGTCTTTTAAAAACCTAAATCAGATTTTTCATTCCCATACTTAAAACCCAACAAGAGCTTTCATTGCTTTTAAAATAAAGTCCAAGATTTATAAGGCCCTGTGTGGTTTGGCTCTGCTTTTTTCTCCTTCATCTCATGCTGGTCTCCCTCTTACTAACTAGGCTCCTGCCACACAGGTTGCTTTTCCCTTTTTGGAACCCACCGAGAGCTTTCTTACCTCAGGGTCTTTGCATTGGTGCTTTCATTTGATTGAAATATTCTTCCTTCGGTCCCAAACATGGCTTGCTCATTGCCATCCTTCAGGTCCTAATGTATGTGTTATTTCTTCAGAGAGTTCAAGTCATTCTGACTACTACTCTATTTAAAAAGTTTTTCTGGGAGGATCACTTGAGGTCAGGAGTTTGAGATTAACCTGGCCAACATGATGAAACTCTTGTCTCTTCTAAAAATACTAAATTAGCTGGGTATGGTTGCAGGCACCTGTAATCCCAGCTACTCAGGAGGCTGAGGCAGAAGAATTGCTTGAACCCAGGAGACGGAGGTTGCAGTGAACTAAGATTGCACCACTGCACTCCAGCCTGGGTGACAGAGTGAGACTTCATCTAGAAAAAAAAAAACAAACTGTAGGCCGGGCATGGTGGCTTATACCTGTAATCCTAGTATTTTGGGAGGCTGAGGCAGGTGGATCGCTTGAGCTCAGGAGTTCAAGACTAGCCTGGGCAACATGGTGAAACCCCATCTCTACTAAAACTACAAAAAATTAGCTGGGCGTGGTGGTGAATGCCCGTAGTCCCAGCCACTTGGGAGGCTGAGGCATGAGAATCGCTTGAATCCGGGAGGCAGAGGTTGCAATGAGCTGGGATCGTGCCACTGCACTCCAGCCTGGGCAACAGAGTGAGACTGTCTCAAAACAAACAAACAAGCAAACAAAAACAAAAATAAACAAAAAACAAACAAAAAAATGTTTTTTGAAGCTGAGGCCGGTAAGATCGCTTGAGTCTGAGAGTACGAGACCAGCCTGGGCAATATAGAGAGACCCCGTCTCTACAAAAAACTGAAAAATAGCTGGGCATGGTGGTACACGTCTGTGGTCCCAACTCCTTGGGAGGCTGAGGTGGGAGGATTTCTTGAGCCCCGGAGGTCAAGGCTGCGGTGAACTGTGATGGCGCCACTGCACTCCAGCCTGGGCAGAGTTGGAACAACATTTTTCTTTTTCTTTTTGAGATGGAGTCTCACTCTGTTGGCCAGGCTGGAGTGCAGTAGCACGATCTCAGCTCACTGCAACCTCTGCCTCCTGGGTTCAAGTGATTCTTGTGCCTCAGTCTCCTGAGTAGCTGGGATTACAGGCGCACATGCCACCACGCCCGGGTAATTTTTGTATTTTTGGTAGAGATGAGGTTTTGCCATGTTGGCCAGGCTGGTCTCAAACTCCTGGTCTCAAGTCTGCCTGCCTCAGCCTCCCAAAGTGCTAGGATTACAGGTGTGAGCCACCATGCCCAGCCAACTTTCGAGAAGCTGTGGGTGTAGGGAAAAGAATACAACTGACATGCCTTCAACTCCTGGCCATCCCATAATTGCCTGTGTAACTTTGAATGTATCATTCAATCATTTTGAGCTGTCTTCGCCTGTACAGTGGGGAAAATAACCCTTAACATGGATGGGTATTGTGAATAGTAATGCTTTATACTTAGGATCTGTTGGAATGCATATGATGACAAATGGTAGCCATTTGTACCAGGATTTCATTCAGATTCTCAGCTGAGGGTGTGCACTAAAATCAAATTTGGAGCTTTGTAGAAATTTGGATACCAAAACCCCAATTCAGTACTACTGAATCAGAAGAGTTATCTCTGGGTGGGTGTGGGACTCCAGTACGTGCGTTTTTCTAAAGCTTCCCAGAGGATTCAGATGTGTAGCTGTTACAACCATGCGTTTAATCCAAGCCATGCTGGAATCCTCTCTAAATGCCTCTTGCTGAGGGACTGTCCAACTTGAATAGCTCTGTTAATGGGGAACTCACAGAGCCACAGGTCCAAGCTGCTTCCTAATGGGGCATCCACCTGAGCCTTTGAGCCTTATCCTTAGATAACAAGTTATTGATTTCTTATCAATTGGGTAATATTTGGTATTAATTTTTGAAAACAATCTTGCAGTCCCAACCAAAGTCATCATGCCTTCCATTATTCTTGGTCACATCCAAGATGGAAGCCAATCTAGTTATCTTTTGTACTTTTATCCCTTTTGTGTTTGTGCTTCTCGCCTAACCCAATGACTTGCGCTGGGTTCCCTCCCAGACTTCTCCACTGAGCACTTTAACCTTCCACCTTCAGTGTACATGAACCTATACCTACAACCTCTTTAGCGATGGCTCCTCTACTTCCTGCTGTAACTGAACTCTGTCTTAAATTAGAAGATGTTTCAGATGTCAACAATGTGACTAGGCAATCTTATGAAACATTAACCATCTCTTTGGTTGGTTGCTTGAGTAAACACAAATATATTCATTCTTGGAATGTCTTGGGCCATTAAATACATCTAAAGGTTTGATGCTGGGAAAACATGATGAGGGCCAAGGAGTCTTGTGTCTGGTGAATATGCATGAAAAGGGGACCAAAGCTCTGTGGGCAAACCTGGGACATGAGAGGTAGACAGGGTTGGAAATTAGATGAGATCCTGCTCTGGGAAACCTCCCTCCTAGAAATAACTCTGGGGTCCTGCAACAGACCAAGCATCCACAATGGAATGGAAAAGAGTGCAATTCCATTAAATCCACACATTCTGTATCAGAGGCTCATTTAAAAGAAGCCATCTATTTCTAAGGGCAAGGATGGCTGGTGGGGATATGGGAACAGATTATATGATTTTCTCTAGTTTGAATGCTGTTATCTCAATAAAATGACTTCTGTTTAAAAAGGCTGGATGTCAGAAGGGCTTAATTTTCTTGACTTTCTACAGATTGGGGAGAAAATCACAAATCAGAACAAATGCCTTGTTTTCTTTTTTTTTTTTCTCTTACTATAGAATAACAGATTTTTTTTTTTTCTTTCTGTGTTTAGGTATAACTGAGACTATTGGTGACATTTGAAATTATTACAGCCATCTTATTTTATATTTATTATACTTTCTTGAATAATGTTGTATCCATGAGCACTATCGTGTGATATGAAACATTCGTATGCTTTACTTCCTCCCTTCAACTCACTGCTCTGATTTTATTGAAATAATGTAAAATTTTATTTTTATTATTATTTTACATTGTTCAACGTTTAGTTCTAGAATCCTTTACTAATAGTTATGTCAAGCTCTACAATCACATTTAAATGATTATGGAGACATCCATACATCTTGCTGATTTCATTGTTCCTTGGTGCTTTTTCTAAAACCTGTCTGTGCTGCACTTATTCTTACGATATTTGTTCTGATTCATCTTTTAAAATTTTTTTCCCAGAAAAGATACATGGGTTGATTTTTAAAAATTCTGAAATGTCTAAAAATGACTTTCTTGGGCTCTTAAGTGAAGTATAGTTTGACTGGGTCTAGAATGGTCATGTCATAATCTTTTACCTTTAGATAGTTCTTTGTAAATATTTAATTGTCTTTTAGTAGTCAGTTGTAGGGAAAAAAATTTCATATCAGTTTTATAATTCCAGGTTTATCTCCTCCTGTGCAACTGATTTTTTTCTTTGAAAGGTGCATATAAGTTGAATCTTTAGGAGATAAATACTTTCTCCATTAATTTGCTTTAAAAAGTTCAGAGATTTTGAATATATTGTATTTAACAATCAATTGGCAATAATTGCTACAATTGCATCATCATCTACTCTGGGGTTGATGATCTGAAGATGCATAGTAAAATGTACCAGAGAACTGTAATATTTAAAAGAATGCTAAGATATATTATTTCATAGATCAGTGAATTCTTTATAAGTAAGTAATCTCATAATTTGACTATTCTCTATGTGTGCATGTTTAGAAATTTTATTAAATTCAGACGTACTTATATTGGATTATTTGATGGGGTTCGTGTTTTCTCTTTTCCTGTTTGAGTGGCCTCTATCACTATTAAATATTTATTTTAAAGATATGAATTGTAGGGTTGGAAGTCAGGGCTTATAACCAGTGCTGTGTTGGTTCCCATTGCAGAGATCAACTGTGGCAACCCTCCAGAAATGCGGCACGCCATCTTGATAGGAAATCACAGCTCCAGGCTGGGCGGTGTGGCTCGCTATGTCTGCCAAGAGGGCTTTGAGAGCCCTGGAGGAAAGATCACTTCTGTTTGCACAGAGGAAGGTACCTGGAGAGAAAGCACTTTAACATGCACAGGTACAGATTCTGTTCTGGGCTCCTGCTACCCAGAAACAAAACAGCCAGTGGGAGCCGAGGGCCTAAAACTGTCTGATTGCTGCTTCACTCTACATACTGCATCCAGCTCTGCTCTTTACCTGGTTGTGTACCTGGCTTTAGATTTGTCAGCTAAATCCTGAAGATTTAGAGGGTGGACTGGAAAAATAAGTTGGATGGAAAATGTTATGCATCCATCTTTTGAGACTCACCTTAAATCACTGTGATTCCTGTTCCCTCTACTTGACTGGCTGAGACGTTTTTCTCCATGAACCATTTTCTCAGAGGGGCACACTCCTAACTTAACACGTGTTGACCGTTTTTCAGAGAAAAAGTGTTATGATGAAAAATAGTTTTTAAATGTTTATTGTGTTAACACACATAAAACATAAAATTTATCATCTAATATAGTTTCATTTCTTTTTTTTTGAAATGGAGTCTTGCTTTGTCACCCAGGCTGGAGTGCACTGGCGCGATCTCAGCTCACTGCAGCCTCCGCCTCCTGGGTTACAGTGATCAAGTGATTCTCGTGCCTCAGCCTCCCGAGTACCTGGGATTACAGGTGTCTGCCACCATGTCCGGCTAATTTTTGTATTTTAAGTAGAGACAGGGTTTCATCACGTTGCCCAGGCTGGTCTCGAACTCCAGGCCTCAAGTGATCTGCCTGCTTAGGCCTCCCAAAGTGCTGGGATTACAGGTGTGAGCCACCATGCCTGGCTTACCATCTAATATAGTTTGGATGTTTGTCTCCTCCATATCTCATGCCAAAATGTGGTCTTCAGTGTTGGAGGTGGGGCCTGATGGGAAGTGTTTGGGTCATGGGGCCAGATCACTCAGGAATGGCTTTGTGTCCTCCCCTTGGTGATGAATTCTTGCTCTTAGTTCACATGAGAGCTGGTTGTTAAAAGGAGCCTGGCACCTCCTTTTCTCTCTTTGGCTCCCTCTCTTGCCGTTTGACATGCCTGCTCCCTCTTCACCTTCTGCCATGATCATCAACTTCCCAAGGCCCTCACCAGAAGCAGATGCTGGTGCCATGCTTCCTGTACAGCCTGCAGAACCATGAGCCAGATAAACCTCTTTCTTTATAAATTACCTGGTCTCAGGTATTCCTTTATAGCAACATGAAACTGATGAATACACCATCTGAACTATTTTTAAGTGTGCAGTTCAGTAGTGTTTGTTTACATACACTCATGTTGTTGCACAACCAATCTCCAGAACTTTTTCATCTTGCAAAACTGAAACGTTATACCCATTAAACAACAACTCCCCATTTGCCCCTCCCCACAGCCCCTGGAATGTCACCCTTCTACTTTCTGTCTCTTGTGAATTTGACTACCGTAGGTGTCTCATACGGTACTTGTCCATTTGAGACTGGCTTATTTCACTAAGCATAATGTCTTTAAGATACATCCATGTTGTAACATGTGTCAACATTTCCTTTCTTCTTAAGGCTAATAGTCCATTATATGAGTATCCCACATTTTGTTTATCCATTCATCTGTTGATGGACACTTGGGTACGTTCCATCTTTCAGCTATGATGAATAATGCTTGAAATGTGTGTACAAATATCTCTTTGAGACCCTGTTTTCAGTTCTTTTGGATATATACACAGAAGTGGAATTACTGGTGAAAACGAGTTTTGAGGCGTGGTGCAGTGGCTCATGCCTGTAATCTCTGCACTTTGGGAGGCTGAGGCAGGTAGATCACTTGAGGTCAGGAGTTCAAGACCAGCCTGGCCAACATGGCAAAAACCCATGTCTACTAAAAATACAAAAATTAGCTGGGTGCAGTGGCTCACACCTGTAATCCCAGCACTTTGAGAGGCCAAGACAGGAGGATTGCTTGACCCCAGGAGTTCAAGACCAGCCTGGAAGACATAGTGAGACCCCATCTCTACAAAAAATTAAAAATTTGCCAGGTGTGGCGGTGCACACCTGTAGCCCCCACTACTCGGGTGGCTGACGCAGGAGAATTGTTTGAACCCAGGAGACAGTTGTGAGCCAAGATCACATCCCTGCACTCTAGCCTGGGGAATAGAGTGAGACTCTGTCTCAATAAAAAAAGGAGTTTTGAGATTTCAGTTTATATTCTAGCAATGCCATATATTAGCTGTGTGTCATTAGGTGAGGCATTCTGAGCCTCAGTTTCCTCATCTATAAAGGAAGGAAATAAAATCTGTTTTTCTTACTTCAAAGAGTGTTGAAAAGGAATCAAATAAGATAATCTGTGGGGCACATTTTAGAAAACTGAAAACACCATGCACATGTTAGTCTTTTTCCTAAATTTGTTAGCCTCACGTGAAGCTCTTCTCATGAATCAGAAGCGTGTGCTTCTACATGATTCATTTCACACCTCTGCCTCCGAGGGACAAGGTGAGAAAAGGCAATGATTCTTACCATTTGTGATGGTTGATCAGAAGGTGTGACAAATGGTTGTCACACAGTCCCTGGGAATATATTTCTGGCTGTGGACTTGCTTGGCTCTGAAGACAGGTCTCTGAAGAGTGAAATCTCCAGGAGCTTTGATCTGGGTCTCTGCTTTGACTAGCAGCGGAATTGTGGTCTTGCTCACCAATATTTTCCATTGGAAAGTTTAGCCAGAGCAAACAAGACATGTAGGCCCCTGGGGATTATTTGTCCATAGGCAATGGTTCATAATTATGTTGGGGATGGGAATTTGAGGAAATCTGTCCATTCACTCAATGGATATCTATTTAGCTTGCACTATATGTCAGGTACTTTGTCGGCATGACCCTCTTGGAATTTACAGTGAAACAGGGGAAACAGACCTTTTCCCCAAAGATATGCACATACACATACACACATAATGTTTTACAAGTAACAAGGTGTTCCTGGATCTCTGAAATCCTTGAGTAAAGCATTCTTGGAATAGATGGAAAGCTCAGCTTTGCCGTTGAGGCCCTGTGTGTGCCAGGCAATTCCTACATTTGGTTATCTCCATCACAAATTCAAGAGGATGTAGGCCAGAGACTGCCATCGGAAAAACAAAGAAGGGTAGAGCTGGATGAGAACCCAGAGATATAATGCAGTCTTCTCTTAGAGAGGTCTCATTGCCTTGCCCAGCCTGCACAGAGGAGCAAGGGCAAATGTGTAACTGATACCAAAGACTCTAGGGTTCCAGTCTTAACAATTGGAGCTAATGCCACGCTGGACTAGACTGATGGTCACTCCAACCTATCATGGCATTTGCAAAAGTACCTCCAACAGTTATTTGGAGGAAGTGAGGTAGCTGCCTCCTGGAATGCTGAATTCAACGTTTTGGGGAAGTATTCCCAACACAGAGCAACTGCTGGAGTCACTTGGTAAGAGCTGGATATAGCTTCTGAGCCTCAGCCATTTGCTTCATTGCTCAAGCTGCTCTGCCTCCACCATTCAGCAGTCAATGGGGGTATCAGAATTAGTCACTGCATGAAAAACCAGTGGATCTGCATGGGGCATAGTAAGCTATTAATTAGCTGATGCTTGTAGAGCACTTTGAAGAACAAACATGTTATGTAACTGCTAATTATAATTACCATCCTCAGCCTGCTACCTTTCACAAAGTCTGTGACTCCAGCTGCATCTGTTTCCATGGGTTTATGCGAGCTTTGATTTAAGGAAAGAAAAGGCATTTTCCCTGAGAGCTGTGATCTTTCTGTGAGGAGGCCTTTATGCCCTCAATCAGGATTGGCAGCTAAATTCAATTTCCGCAGATAAAGGGGATGATTTACATGATGATTAATTCATGGTGCAGTGCAGATGATCTCTGGGTGGGTAGGTAGGAGAGGCTTCTGGAAATGTAGTGAGAGCTGCTGATTACCATGGCTCTTCCTCAGCTACCCCTCTTCTTTTTTCTTTTCCCTGTTTTTCACTTTTTACCTATTTCTTCACTCCCCTCATCCCAACTGTCTCTGTGTATTTGTTGTTGTTGTTGGAGATGGAGTCTCACTCTGTCACCCAGGTTGAAGTGCAGTGATTACAGCTAACCACAGCCACAAACTCCTGGGCTCAAGCTATCCTTCTGCCTCAGCCTCCCAAGCAGCTGGGACCACAGACATGACCCAGCATGTGTGGCTAGGTTTTAAAAAAATTTTTTTATAGAGACGGGGGTCTCACTGTGTTGCCCAGGTTGGTCTCAAACTGCTAGCCTCAAGCCATCCTCCTGCCTGTGTGTATTTTATATTTCCCTTTCTTAATATTCACTTTTAGCTTCCCCTCTCATCTTTTTCTACTTTTCTGCTTCTCTCTGAATGCCTCCTACCTCTGTCCTGTTTTCACTGTTTATCTTCGTGTACTTCTATGTTTAGTTCCAAACTGGGTAGAATAATTTATCTTTACCTGGGTTGTTTTTAATTACCTTTAAAAATATTTTTGACTAGTCTTTTGGATTAGTAGCACAAATCTGTATGTGCTTTTAATGACGTGTGAGCTCTATCAAGATGGTGGGACTCTTTTTTCCCACCCCTTGCAAGGCCAGTTTGGACTGGAAACTCCAGACATCTGGGAATTAGGCAATCACTTTAGTGTCTGGAAAAACCCCAGGTGGAAGCTTGATGTTAATGAGTCAGTTTACCTCAAGATCAAAGAGACTGATTCATTCTTGATAAGACTTTCCCTGGCTTCCATTCTGCACAGGCCATTTGGCTTTTCATGTTTAGAATCTGGGTTAATGATTATAAGGCTGACGCTCACTCACTCTACGCTCTCTGAAGGGTAACATCTCTGCTGGAACAGAGGCTGTTTATCGCTAGAATCCTTTCTGTGCCCCTAAACTGCTCTGGGCACTGCTCAGATGCCTCCAGGACACTGTTAGCCTCTGTCCCTTCTGTTTGGCTGGTGACCCTCTTCTCCGGCCACTGGGTGCTCACTTGCAGCGCTACACATTTCAGATGGAACAGAAAGGTCAGCCGGAATAAATGGATACATTTCCATAAATAGCCACATGGTCAGATGTATTGGAATATGTGAATGAGGTTTG